CAGTATCAGAGGCCTGTTACCTGCCAGACGACATTCATCAGCCTCTCATTTCCGTTCTTTTAATTCTCTCCTCCTGTGTCGCGCTAGGTGCCCGAGAAGGACGAAGCTGAAACACTAAAGGCCCCATCGTCTTGTTTAACTGGGTCTCTGGGATCAAAGGAAAGTTAGGGGAGGTGCCCATCCACAATTAATCACCGATAGTGATGTCTTTATTGGCCACTGACCTTGCAGTGAGTTATATGAGTAATAAGAAGGTTCTCTGTTACCCCAATCCCTGTATTCTTGGAGGAGGACATAAATCACCTCAGCCTCATGAATTTCTCATATCTACAAAGCAGACTTCCAAATTTCCCACAGAGGATGCAGGGTAACCGCTTATTTTTCCAGTTTTTCAAAAATAATTTTTCAGCTTGTTCAAATGTCACACAAGGAGGCCAATGATTGAGATGATCTGGCTGAGAGTGACCCGAGGATCCAAGGTGGATGTCAGCAAGGAGCCCGGGGAGCAGCGGATAGCTTCCATCATCCAGTTTGGAGGTTGTTTGCACTACTTCTTCCCTAACCTTACGCTCCAAGCAACAATCATGGTAGATTGCCTTATTCTGTTCCATTAAGAACTGAAGCATGCAATAAATCAAATCCCATAATGACATATCTTGCTTTGGTGGCATGACAAGTTGCTTCTTGGCTGAAATTCAGATGAAGAATATCTGGATTTTGTAAATATAGTTCTCTATATCCCTCTCTACCGAAACTTAAAATTTAAGTATTATATGGTATCAGAAAAAAATACTAATGAAATATTAATGAAAACGAGATGGCCTCCTTTAGAAATGCCAAATACATCTTGATATAATTTTTAAATAATTGTATATATGCCTATGGGGAAAAGATAGTAAATTTTCAGCATCATCATTTTAAAATAATTTGATTAGCCTTTAGAGAATTTCATCAATGCAATGCGTTTATATCATATCACCCTACTCCACCTCCTGACTACCCCCAGATCCACCTAACACCTCCCAAGTCACTTTCCAAGTTCATATCCTCTTTTGTTGATGTTTTTAACACACTGAGTTCTATTTGTGCTGACCACATATGCAAATGAGTGGGACTATCTACTGGAGCATGATTGACTTATGGGGCCACAACCTTAAAGAAAATCTCTCTCTGTCTCTGTCTCTGTCTCTGTCTCTCTCTGTTTCTGTCTCTCTCTCTCTCTCTCTCTCTCTCTCTCTCTCTCTCTCTCTCTCTGCCTCTTGTCTAATATCTCCTCAATGCGGCATCCAGGCTTACAAGATCTCCTCTCTATATACTGGAAGGTTGATTTTATGCCTCTTTTTAAATAATTTTTTCTAAATGTAAACATCTAAAACTAATATATAATTACATAATACACAAATAATATGCTTTGGTATGTCATCCACATAGGGGTCCCTTAAGAATAATGACTGTGGTTTTAGTCTGTTAAGGTTACAGGAAAATATCTATGCTAACAAGGACAATCTATGACAAAACTTTCAAGCAAATGTCAAATTTCAAGCTAACAATGAAGAAGTCTGGTCACAGAATAAATATGAGATGCACACCTGAGAGATATGGTATTAAAATATTTAGTGACTAAAGAGTCATTTTTTCAATATTTATTCTGCTTGATTGCTATTTTGACACAGAGAGAAGCACAATACCAGAATGTCATTTTTGCCCCTAAGAAAGAGTTCAGTTGTCAGTGGACAAAATACAACCAGGTACAAAAACAGCTAAGAGAAGTTTGTGAAAACTGGAATAGACCATGTTTTAGTAATTTTGAACATCAACATTTGTTTCAATAATAACACAGTTTTTAAAATCCCAGAACTTGAGAGGTAGAAGCAGGAAGCTTAGCAGTTAAAGGACACCTCAGCTACACAAAGTTCTGAGACCAGCCTATGCTATCTGCTTCTCTTCTCAAAACATCTAACAACAACAACAATAATAATAGTAATAATTATTCAATTTTCATGAAAAATTAACATCTGGCCTTGGCCTTAGCGAGGAGTGATAATTTAACATGCAAAACCTGGAAGATACTGCAAGTCAAAATGACAGCAGAAACAGTCACAAAATGCATCAGAAGTAATAGTGATGTCTGATATCTAATGTCCACGTGAGGGAGAAGACTGCTAACACCATTCTATGTATTTGTATGGCTTAGCTCACTTTTTTTTTCTCGCTAAAGCCCCAAATGTGAAACTGTCAGTGTTAAGCCCATTCAAAATCTAAGACTTAAATTAGGCACATAATAACTTGCTGAAGTGAGTGTTGAGTTGGTATTTACACTAATGTGGTTCATAGCTGCAGTGTTTTCTGTAGTGTAGTGTGCACTAATGTGGTTTTGAAAGGACAGAAAGATAGAACTAAACAAGACATCTTATGGTTGGTGTTAGATAACAAAAATCTAGTAATTATTTTGGGGCTGATGTCCCCAAATACATTAGATTTTGAGAACAAGCACTATAATCAAATGGGCTGGTTATGAAGTGATTGCAAAAATCTAAGATTTAGGAATTGGAAAGACTGGATTTGGAGAAATATGTTAATGTATAACAACATTCTTTCCTCAGTTTAAAATGATATTCACTTCCATCCACTGTTGGGTTCTCTAAACTTGACAAGATGACAACATAATCAATCAAATGGTGCATTTAGTTTATTTTCTTAGTGAATGAAGTTGCTTCTTCAGAGTAAATTACTAACCTGTGGAGATTATTATTTAATTGCATAAAGGTAATAATGGTACAGCTGTGCTTGTCTAGTGGCCTCAAGGAATTAATGTCCCTTTGAAGAATTAACTAATATGTATGCAAAAATATCAGAACTTATTAACACAGGCACTCTGAGTAAATATTTCTTCCAACCTTTTGAAGACCCACATTCAAAAAATTTTACATAGATGATTCATTATCATAACAAATCAAAATCAGGAAATACTTTTTAAGTAAGATACATATTATATCTTGTCTTCATTTTTAAGATTAAGATTCTAATTATAATTCTTAAACCCATGTTCTAGAATTATCTTTCCTCACCAAATGGATCTTCCAGTACCAGAAACGGGTTGCCTCTAATTGAGTTCTTGGCCAAAACAAGTCAAGCTATTGCCAAAGCTATTGATACATCTACCCAAACTGTTGGCAAGGCCCTATTGCTAAAGCCAACATCTACACAATCCATTGAACATGAAGAAGTCGAGCAGGTGCCTACATAGAGCCTTCACCCTACAGACTACTATCCACACTACTGGATGGTACTCTGCATGTTACTGAAAGAAAAGCATAAGCACCAACCCAACTACAAACCCTTTGATCTGTAAGCGTGTCCTTCCTGCAAGATACACTGGAGAAATAGAGGCACAAACCTTATGTGGGTAACTGGCAAATATCTGATTTCAGTCAAGCTTCATTCTTTGAGATGGAACCCATCCCCAAAGCTACTTGCATAGTTAATGACCAAATACTAGATAGTCCAGGGACCAAGAGGAAAACCAAATACTACTGTTCTGATAAAGGAATATAGCAATAAAATGACTCTCAATGACATTCTGCTATACTCATAGATCAACCCCTTGCTCAGCCATCATCAGAGAAGCTTCCTCCAGCAGCAGATGGGAACAAATTCTGATACAGAGAATGAGAGAGCTTGGAATATTCAGACCCAAAAGGAATGTCTCTATCAAATCCCTTTCCTGGGCGCCCAGGGAACTCTTTAGAAAAGAAGGTGAAAAGAGTGTAAGAGCCAGAGGGGATGGAAGACGCTAAGTAATCAAGTCTTTCTATACTCAACAGAGCAGGCACACATGTGAACTCACAGAGGCTGAAACAACATGCACAGGGGCTGCACCAGTTGAGGTCTTGCGAATGAAAACTTAGGTTTCCTTAAGGGAGTATCACTGGAGAAACCAACCATTCTTGAGGGTAAAGAACCGTAAAAGGTAAATAAAAAACAAACTCAAGGTCATCTTTGGAGGTTCTCTGTCTCCCAATGTTAAGTCAGGACTTTTTGCTTTATTTTGGTTTTGATCGGCTTGCATTTTTGATATTTGGATTTACTCCAGGTCCTTTTAATGTGAGTTTTTAAAATAAAGTTTATTTATTTATTTTACATATGGAATGCAGTTTCCCATCCTTCCTCTCCTCACTTTCCCTCTCTCTCCCCCGCCCACCATACTCCCAATCCTCTCCTCTTCTGTTTCTGTACAGAAAATGGCAGACTTCCCATGGTTATCAACAGAACATGACATATAAAATTACTATAGTTCCAAGCACCTTCCTTTGTATCGAGGCTGGGCAAGGCAACCCAGTATGACAAATAGGTTCCCAAAAGCCAGCCACAGTGTTAGAGATAGACCCTGCTCCTGAGAGTAGACCAAGCTACACAACTGTTATACATATGTAGAGGGCTTAGGGTGGTTACATGTAGGCTCCTTGGTGGGTTCAGACTCTGTGAGCGCCTATAAGTTCAGGTTAGTTGTTTCTGTGGGTTTTCTTGTGCTGTACTTGACCCCTCTGGCTCCTACAATCCTTCATCCCTCCTTTCAGCAGGAGTGTCCAAGCTCTGCCTAACCCACAGCCAAACATTATGGAAATCTTGTGTATGTAACATGTGTGTCTCTGCATCTAAATGCATTTCTTCTGCTTTTCATTTGGCTGTTTTTCTCATTTGGTTGTTTTGTCCTATTCTGATTTGTTTGATTTTGATATATTCTCTTTTACTTTATTATTATTCCTTAGAAGCCTGCCTGTTTTCTAAGGAGCAACAGAGTGTGGATCCAGATGGGAGGGGATGGGAGGTACTAGAAGGAGTAGGACGCAAGGAAACCTTAATCAGAATACATTATATGAAAGAAGTCAACTTTCAATAAAAGAAAAGAATTAAAACATTCCCTAACTTGAAAGTTTGCATGGAAGTTACCATTTAACTCTTTTCGCATACTTTGAACAAAAGGAAGCAGACATCATTGGTTTGTATTCGGAGCCATCTGTGTTATTAGCAAAGAAAAGCATAACTTTAAAACAATGCAAGAGAAAACTATGCAAATTTAAGCTAAAACTGTCACAATGAAACTGCTAAATTTCACAGAGATCAAATTCCAGTACACCAAAAATGTTTCTTGGGCCTGACTAGAATTTCTCACCTCATTAGGTGTGAAAAAACATAAATTGAGCACTGATATTTTTTTCTTCAAAATTTTGTCCATGATAAGAACAGTTGGAGGAATGAGGCTCTCTGTAGCCCTCAGGTCTGTGTGTTTGCAGACGTGAGAATAGTGATTGAAAGCTGAACCCTTTATAGATTCTGGGCACTTTTTCATTAATTGTTTTTGAATCTTCAAGTCATTTGCTAAATAATGAATTCATTCTCACATTTCCACTTCTTTCTAGATTACAGAATTAGCACTCTTGTAAAAGAGCACAAGAGGATGCTGAGATGCAGAATACCTGGACAAAGACAATGTTACAAAACTCCTCATCCACAGCATATGACTGTTGAGTGAAACAGGGTAGCTCTAGATGTAGCATTTATTTTAAAGTTATTTTTTTATTTTCAAGATTATAATGTATCATTTCACCCTTTCCTCCTTCTAAACTCTCCTTGTACCTCTCCTTGCTCTCTTTCAAATTCAGGGTCCCTTTTCCAACTAATTGTGACATGTATGTCTTAATTGTTTCCATCTAGAAGTTTCACCTGTCTGCTAGCCAGACTTCTAGGTGGGATTTAGCTCTGCATGTATACTAATACATTCAATTTATCAAGGTTGAAAACTCTGACTTATTGCCCATGATGTTAAAGCACAAATTCAAGATTTTTAAGTACTTAATCTGTACCATGTAATGAGATTTATAATACAAGATGGAAAATGAGGCCTATAGAGGATAGCACTCAAAATAAGATGGCCCAGCCTAAGTATAGCTGTGCTTCCAAAGCTTCCATGTTACACACTCTCCCCCGAAAACATCTCTAAATATAATTACTTATATCCCTGTATCACAAAGCCAGAAGGAACTATCCAGTTCTGTATCATGCACCTAAGGTTGGGAAGTGTTTAAAATAATGTTGAAGAACACTCAATACTTTTTGTAGTTTAATTCAAGCATTTCTCCTTTCTTATAAGAACGGTGGAGTCCACGGGATGCACACCCACACTTCTTACGTTACCGTCATCCGTTCCCATGACAACTTGTACATATTAGCTGCAAAAAGTGAAACATGGTTCAAGAGTGAGCAATACAAAAGGTCATTTCTTCTTCCAATACTCAAAATATTTCTACACCTTACTCCCACTCACTCCCACCCTCAAAAGCAAAGGACTTTGAAGACTGAAATAATAAAGGGTAATTATAATAGGGTTTAATGAATCTGGAAAATAAAGTATTTTATATTAGTGAGTGTGTTATAATTAACTCTGGTAAATGATACCAAAATGAGTACTTTAGCTTCCACTATTCTAGGCAAGAATCCGAAGGGAGAAATCAGTGTAATCATGTTTCCTTCTATAAAGTAAAACAGAGGAGTTCTCCTCTGTTCCTTTCTCTAATGTACAGTGACTCATAAATTCTTTTCTTGGAAGGCAATGACTGACAAGAAGACTCTTATACAAAAGAAAAGGCAACTTATAGCCTCTAAGCCTCAGGCTAATGGGTGAGGAACCACTGATATTCCATTGTATTAATCCACCATCAAGGTACTTAACCAGAAAGTGAGTTTGGCTTTATTGGGAGGACTGAAGACAGAATCTTTAACTTTTGCCATAATTTTATGAAGTGGAGAATATATAAGAGCAAAGGGGATAAGGAATACAGATTACCAAAGGGCAACAGATGATAAGAACTAACAATGGGTGAAATTATAAGCAACATTCCAGAATTTATTAAATGTCACAAAAGATATTTGTATGCATACTAAGCTTGTATGTTATTGAAGGACACTAAAAGTCAAAATTATAGACTCCCATGATATATATTATCAGAATGAGGGGGAGTCTCTCCAAAGTGACACTCAAGTAAGTGTCCCCATCTAAGGTAGAATTCTCAGATGAAGGATAGTTAAGAACTGTAGCATTCCATGTTCATTTTATAAGTCTAGAGAGAGAAAATGCAACAAGACAAGAAATCTAACTGGCAACACAATAAGCCCTTTTTTGACCTGCTCTAAATTTGTGTGTGTGTGTGTGTGTGTGTGTGTGTGTGTGTGTGTGT